CAAATCACAGAATTTTAAAAATTCTGGCTGGAAAAAAGACTAATTTCTAGATGAAAAAGACTTCATTTCCCTTTAAACATAGGAGTATTCTGTCATTTATCCTGATAAAGAAAATAACACATTTATAATGTTTTAAGCTCTCAATGAATTTCATTAATGGAATGTTAATTTGTTTAACATTGAGCTTTTCTAGAGTGCTATCAAGTTGACAAGCATGTCTGAGTTTCACTACAGAATACATAAGTCCCCCATTTAGCAATCTCAAAATTGTAGAGGATCTTGTAAGATTTTACTGAATCCCACAAAGTACACTGCAGGCATCAGCATTTTTTTAAGCTGATTAAACTGATTTTGCTGATACTGTCATGTATGAATTTCATGACACAGTCACTTTGTAATGGTAAAAGCGTTTTTGTATTTTAACTGTTATGCTGCCTGTGATTAAATCATGTCGTTATAACTAGAGGAACATTGGTCCAGCTTGTGTGTTCTGTATTTATATACGTAGAATGCTGATGCTTATTTTTAGAAATGTGATCTCAATAAAATGGAAGAAAAGTCTTTCTTATTAAATATTGGTATATTTCCCTAATCTTTTTGTATGGATTCGGGACTACCCGGTTTGGTATAAAGAATTTCTAGACTGACTGTGTTCTCTGTTTTCCCATTACCATTAGACAGAACTTGTAGAAGAGAAAAATTTAGTGAAAGCTCAGCGTCGAAAGGTGGAAAAGATGAAAACTGACTGTGATAAGCTGGTAGAGGAACTAACCCAAAGTGAAGAGGAGAACACAAAACTTAGACGAAAATATGAACTTGTGAAACAGGAACTGGAGGAAAAGGTAAACAGGACTACTAATCTGATTAGGCATCTACTTTATAAAGATCAGAATCCATCTACTGCTGTATTTAGATGGTTTGGGTTGCCAAATTATATATGTAATCTTTGGGAAAACACTTGCAGCCATGCCACTTTACTCTGATTATATTACATCAAACAAAGTAAACATAGTAGGGTGAGGTCAGTGCTTTTATAGCATACCCCTAAGGGAAGTGTTGGTGATTTCAAGAGGGAACTGCCTTCCCTCAATCAAAATCGTACCAACATCTGGCTAGTGTGCATTAAAACAAGGTGTTGCTGATATTACAGTCTTTTGAATATGCTTAAGTGAGGTCCTGACCATAACTAGCCATTACAGATGGTTTTTTGCTAAGTAGTGATATTTATTCTTTCATCCTTCCAAATTTTCTGTGTGAGTACCTAACACCTTTCTAGCTCTTCTATTGCTTTGAGTGAATAAATTATTCTTTATTTTGTCTTTAAACATTATATAATACTGCGAAGTCCAGGGCAAGTTTTAAATTTTTACAAGTATAAAGTTATTTGAACACAGTAAAAGAAATTTAAAATAACATGGTTTAAGTCTTTTCGTTGCTAGACTATTTAAAGCAGAGCAAATAGAATTTTGACCAACTTTATAAGAAAAAACTCAACTTGAGTCCAGAAAGAAACATGAGGCATTTCAGTTCAAAGGATAACTTTCTTGAAAAGCTGTCTGAAAATATAGACTTTGTGGAGAGATTTATGGTTAAGACATTATAGTGGTTTGACCAAATGGAAAAGGATAGTATGAAGTAAAGAAAGTATTTTACTTAGTTTTGAAAAAAATACTTGATGCTCAACTATTAAAAGCTGTTAGTTTAAAGAAACAAGAAATGATTGGATCTTAATTGTCCCTCTTATAGCTAATTCAGTGATATCACTTCCACTATTTTAGTCAGACAAGGTGGGTGAGGTAATATCTCTTATTGGATCAGCTTCTCTCGATGAGAGAGACGAACTTTCAAGGTTATGAAGAGTTTTTATTCAGGTCATTGGCTCAACACCCTTGTGGTTGGTTGTCTTTGCAAGATCTTCATCTCATGAATCTTCAGTCTGCTAATATACATGCATTAGAGATGTAATTAGCTTTGTCTTTTGGGATGGAAACTTCTCAGCACATCTTAAAAGTTAGAATTTTAACAGTTTCTTTTAGTGAGTTCATTTTCTGATATCCCATTAATTCAGAAGTGGTCAGTAATTTTTGATGGGAGGACACTCCATAATTTTGGTAAGTGATCAAGAGCTGCACTTCTCTATGGATCTGGGACAGAGGTTGAGTGCAGAAGGGAACTCAGGGTAGGGGATTTGAGTGCAGGAGAGGTTTTGGGATCTGAGAGGGAGTTTGGGTGGAGGTGGGAGTTGTTACCAGGGCAGGAGATTGGGGTGCAGGGTCCAAGAGGAGGAATGGGTAAGAAGAGAATTCTGGCCTGGGAGAGGGATGTAGGAGGGAGTGCAGGATGTGGGAGAGAGTTGTATTCTGACTGAAGTTGTTATTAAATGAAGTATTTAAATTTAAATAGTTATAAAAAGGTTGCTATCTTTTCCTCTTAATACTCCTTGGAAAGGTGGTTTTTGTCATCTTGAGTTTGATAAGGGGTTGCTTAAGCAATGCAAGGTATCTAATTCCTCAGTAAGTATCAATATTTCTATACTCAAATGACTTCTTACATTAGTAACCATTTATAGCAGGGTTTCTTAACCTTTTTACCTTCACACCTCCCCTGAAAGTGAACTTCATGTTCACAACCCCCTGGGAGCCATTTTGGGCACAGCCTAGCCCCGCCCCCTCACCTGACAGGAAGCTAAGGAGCGTGGCTAGGACTATAAGAACTCTGCCAGGGAGCTCAGTCGGGACCCAGCCTCTGAGGGAGACAGAGGCCTGCCCAGAGCTCCTGGCTGATGAGGCTGAGACCTGGCCTGGGCCTCCCACAGCCGCCTTCCCTCAGGCCACCGAAGGCTTCCCCGCCTGGGCCGTTGAGGCCTGGCCAAGCCTACCAGCAGGGTTACCCTCTGACCTAGAGGAACCCAAGGCTCTACTGGTGCCTGGCGATTCGGAGGACCGGCCTGCTTGAACCCTAGGACCTGGCGAACCAGCTGGACGCTGGACGCAGCCATCTGAGCTAATTCCCAAGTCCGACAGCTGGTGGTGCTGTGGGGTGAGTGAACCCCGTTACAATGCCTAAATGAATAATATGAGCTTTTTACTTTGAACCTTTTCCTAACAAATTTACGTAATATTTGAAGATGAAAGTTGGCAATGCTCGCGTACTGTTATTGTAATGTGTCGTCACATAGGCCTGATTGATTCGCACTGCTATTGTAGTGTGCTGATCTCTAGAAGTTAATAAGAAATTAATGTTTATAATTTTAATTCATAATATTAATTATGAAGAAATCTAAACTTTAGAATTTTATCCAGTCAAAAGGCAATTGCGAATAATTTTCTGGGAGGCACCTCACACCTCCCCTGTATTCCCTTCACACCTCCCCTGGGAAGGCGCACCTCACTGGTTAAGAACCCCTGATTTATAGCATTAAATTATTCTATTGTGCGTAAAGCTTCTCATTATTCACTTAATAATATCTCACAAACATCTAAAAAAGAAACTTGTACAATCTTTAGCATTTGAGGGACAACAAGGTTTTCACCTTTAGGTGGAACAAAGCTCTCCTATAAAATATTTTCCAAACTTAAACAGTTCAAATAAGAAGATTCCTGTGTGTGTGTGTGTGTGTGTGTGTGTGTGTGTGTGTGTGTGTGTGTGTGTGTGTGTGTGTGTGTTTTCGCATAGGGCGTTAAAGAAGAGGAATGCCCGCTTTCATTACTTATTTTATTTCTCTCAGAACACATCCTGATTGTTACTCCTCTTCAATAGAGAATAACCTTAATGTTCTTTTAAAATCAGGATTCTGTAAGATAGCTATCTGTAAGGAAAAAAAACCAAACAAATCTGCTTCCTTGAGATAAGATCATCTCTGTACCAAATGGGCTTCTTGTAGGAGAGGAATGACATGATTTTTGATAAGACAATCTCATTGGTTTGTTTGCCTATAGACCAAATGGTTTGTTGATTTATAACCCACTCTTTATAGCATTTACAGCTTGTGATTAGATTCCTAGCAAATGCTCTATACAAAGGACTAGTCCCAATAACTAACAGTGATGCACACCTTTCAGAATGTAGTATAAAAGAAAATAGCATAGAATATTATAGTAAAAGAGACTTTCTAAAGCTGTATTTCAGAGCCTCTTTACACACTCGTGTACATTTTTTGACTGAGGAGGTGGTATCTTCCTTGACATTGGTCTTTCCCTGGTTGATAGAAAGCAGAGATCTATTAGGAGTTTCCTTATCTTGAATATTTCATTTAATGCGATAAGTAAGCAAAACTATAATGTTAGGAGTTTCCTGATTTTCCAGACGTTATGTGTATTTAGACTGTAAGATCTTCAGAGAAGGTACTGCCTACTATTAGGCATGTGAAAGTATAAACGTGTACACAGTTAACCAGTTAGCCTGGGCTCATTGGTTAACCTTCACAGTTACATGTAGTCCCCCCCTTCCTGCATTGCTACCTCTATTTCAGAGGCAGCAGTGCAAGCACAGGCAGGTGGGAGCTGATAACGTGAAGGGAGCCAGCTATGCATACATACCAGATCCTGTGGAACAACCTCCCCCGTGTGAAAATTTCATGCTTGTACAGTGCCTAGGACAGGACCCCTTTCTTTGTTGGTCCTTATAAACTATCATAATAATGAGAATAAAAATAATGTATATTAAAGTAATTAATTAACAAAAAAGGCAAGTTTGTAATAATCTAATGTCTATATATTTGAGATGTGCATCTGTGTGTCTCTGTCCATGTATGTATCTGTTTGCTCAAGGACTCCTCCTAAATGATAAAAGCTAGAACCACCCAATTTGGTATGCAGCTTCCTGTTATCCTAACTGAACAAGGTTAGGGCTTGGTTGTGCCAGGACAATGGGATGTACCTGGAATTTGATTGTTTCCCATAAAATAGAAAGGGAGGAGTCAGGTAGGAGGAACAGTTATACTATGGAATGACCACGGGAGATCATCAAGCCCCCCACTGAGAAACCACTGGCTGACAGCACCTGACACCCTAGCCTGCCCTAGGGAGCAGCTGCTTGCCACTGAGTGGCCCCTGTTACCCCTGGGCCAGTCCTGGGAAGCACTGTTGGGTATTGTGCACAGCTCTCCTCCCACCCCTGGGCCAGGTCTAGAGGGTGTGGACCTTCCTTTCCTTTCCCCGGCTAGCAGTTGGGATGTGCAGATGGAGATGAGGGTTTCTAGTTGCCCCATCAGGTCAGACACGGCCGACATTGCACCCCCATCTGGACTGTGCTCTACCTAGGGCTTGGAGGCTGCCCAGAGGGTGAGTAATGCTGGTGCTGTGTGGGCTGTCATTGCTTGCAAGGCCTTCTAAAAGGTGAATACCTGAATCCCGCCCCTGCGGTGGGGAAGGGCTGGAAACACTCATCTGCTTTTAAATAAGCTTCTAAGTTGCTTCTGGCTTATCCTGATTTGAATTCTACACTTTTCCAATTTGTGAGCACAACATGTTAGTAAATGCAGGTTAACATTATAGTTGGGCTGCTGGATGAGAGGGACCATAGAAGAAAAATACTCTAGATAGAGGTTTCCAAATAACCACTATTGACTTGATCCTGGTTATGAAGTTCTTGTGGGCATTTTAAAAAAATATCTCTCTGCTGCTTGTGGTAATCTAATATCTAGCCATTTAGCTAGGAACTATATAAAAATAATGTATTGTTGGAAGGAGGTGGGAATGCAAATTTCATTAGAATCATATTAATTTTAGAAACAAAGCAATAATATATCCTTTCATTATAGTCTCGGTGTAACCAATCATACAGTGCCATAATTAAAACATGTCGACAGGAAGAAATAAGCTTGTCTGGATTAGTAGAACAG